TCATTATATTAGGATAAGAAATTCGCGCTTTATATTTTTTTAGTGGTTACTACTGAAGCCACAGTTGTCGTGATAAAGTGTGAACAATTCCGCCAAATATTTTTATCGGGAGATTAACGTTTCATAAATCAGCTGGATTATCTGTTGATTTGATATGACCAAATATAAGGACGAAGATTTTACTGTATATGGAAATTTCTCTTGTGAACGATTCGGATAGTAAGATAGCCAATGGATGGCGATTTAAATTACAGTGTTGCAATACAGAGTTCGGCTGTTGATTCCAAAAGGCGTAAACTTGTCTTTAAAAAATCTGAATCCTACTGGCGAATGTAATTACTTCAAAAAATTTTCGATAAGTGGATTATAAATTTCTCCAAATAAAATTTAATTTCCTTTTTTCTTCCCACCACTAATGAAAAGTTATCAGTAAGAGATATAAACGGATTTAAAGTTATTAACATAATTTCCCTAGCCCATTGTTGATGGAGGTAGAATGGCTCAATGGGTTGTTACTAAATTCAGAGCGCCAATGTTGAGGATTTTATTCCGCGCAAGAGTAAACCTATTCAAAAATCCGGGTGATGCTGGCGACTCACTTTTACTTCTATCGCCAAGGGCATATTTGTCCAGTGTGACAAGCCAGCGGAGCGAGTTTAACCAGTAATGGTGAGGACCCTTAGAAAAAAAAAAGTCTATTGTTGATAGATCTACCTCGATGAAATGAGATTTTGACGGTCGGTGATCACGTATCGTTTTTATTCGTTTCATTCGCCGATTTACTCTTCTCATCTCTATATCACTAGAGAATACGCCTTTGGTCAGAATATGATCTATCCTCAATGAAGAGACAATCGACATGTCCCTCTGATCCAGCAGATTTCATATTGCAGAGTTGCAGAGTTTTTGAATGTTCATTATTCGTAATAATTGTAACTGAAACTCGGAATTTAAGCCTTATTTTTAGCAAGAAATTTTAATCTTATCCACATATCTTAATTAACATATCTGTACAATGAATTTATTACTTGGTGTGTGAGTATGCGTACTCTAAGAAAAATACAGCGACCTCGAAATGTCATAATCTAAACCCATAATCTCAAAAAAAAAGCTGTAGTCTGTACTGAAAAACTTTGATAATCCCAAAATTCGATCGCTACTTGTAAATGTACTACACACACATGCATATCCATCATATGCACAACTCTGCCTTTTTTCCATGTTAATGAAACATGAAGTAGCTGGAGGCTCATAGGTTCAAAGAAGGAGTGGGACATCGAAACGAATCCTCCTCTTGTACGAGACCAGCAATTTTCTAGTTGGAACTAGTTGGAGCAATTTTCTACGGAAATATTCGTCATCTTTCTCTTCTGGTTAACATGTTGACCTTCAACCAATTATTCAATTTAACGAGCCATTTAAGTTTTAATTTAAGTTTTCATGCGTAAGGCTATGGATAGAACGAGGCTGGTTGGAGACGGATCTAACGAGTCGTTCGTTATATAGGGCATTAATGGAATCTGCTCAATGGGACATTTTTTTATCGTCAAAAATTTTCCCATCTTTCTCGCTTTTCAAGGTCGTGTATATACGGTTATTTCTGAAATTTTTAGAAACCCTTTTCAGATAACTTTTAACCCGCTTCCAATTTCTTCTTTTAAACTACAGGTGAGTATACAGTTAATGGAAATTTTTTTGTTGTTTCTTTTTTTTGCAAAATGTCATTGATAAAAAATAAATTCAGCTTACGATAAATTTATCTATTATTGGCACCACTTTCTAGTGTTGTAGTTGTGCTCCGATTCGCTTCAAGCATCGTACGTTTCATTCACTGCTTCGACACAAGTAAACCTATCTTTAAAAAATCCCAGTGGTGCTGACGACCCATTTTGTACCAATGGTACTTTTGTCATGAAGTAACTAACTCCCTGCTAAAAATTTCTAACCACATCAACAGCCGGCGGTGCTAGCCATGCAGCACGCTAACGGCTGTTTTACTTAATTCAACCTCTGTAGTCATTTTTCGTAAATGACCTTTGACTTATCAGTGTTAGCATATCAATACCGTATCAAGAAAATTAAAGCAACCGCTTTTCCAATGCAAATCTAAAACGCTCAATCTTAATGAATTGTTCGTTAGCATTGGCTATCAAAAAAACAACTGCCCACTCCGTTCTCCCGCAACTTTACTCACCCTTCCACCCTTCCTCACAATTTCCTTTTCGCTAGACTGTTTATGGCAGATTTGAACGACGAATGTGAAAAGCTCACTCTAATTTTAGCACATCGTTCGTATTCGACACGATTCGCTAAAACCTTGATATAAAAAATTTGTGGAGAGAAATAGAGAAAAAAAGTAGGGAGTGAAGAGAGAGAGAATTTTGTATTGATTTTAAGAAAAGCGTTGACCATAAACGATGCGATTGATTAACGTTGTTCGCTATTTTTTCATTGTTTTTGTTTCTTCTGTTTATTTTTTAAGCGTTTTCGCTTGAATAAATTTCGGTTAATGCGGTGAAATTTCGCTGTTTGAGGTGATTTGGAGGGTTTATAGACGGTGTTTTTTCCAGATTTCCTGACGGTGGCGATGCGGACGTACGAAACAAAGAAAGACTGTCGTTGACTGTCGTTCGAATACACCCACTCGTCATTCCATCCATCCTGCTACCTGTCGAATCGCATTTGCGGAGATAATCGGCTGTTAGTGGCTCTTTCTTCACGGCTTTCTTTCTCAAAATTTGGTTCGGTTTAACAGTATAACGGTTAGCTCGGTAAAGGTTGACTGGTTGAAGAACATCTTGCTTAATGCCCAAAGGGCAAGCATCACTGATCAGTGGAAACGAGATCGGTCCTTTTGCCGGAGAGTCATAAAGGTGTAAGTGTAAGTTGCTGCCAGCACGATCCGAATTTCACTTTTAATAGTCCATTTATTCTGGTCAAGGAAAGAGAATCGAATTTTGATGGTTTGACCTTGGTCCAAGCCAATACTCGAGAGTCACTCCACTGTCATGCCTATCTCATTGGTGACTAATTGCAGCTGATTCATTGGCTGATTAAGTGGTCCAGTTAGGAATTGACACACTGGGTGAATGAATGTTTTTGGCCTTTGGAGTTTTGGGGTTTTAAATCATATGTGTGAGGTGGGCGCTCCTATTCGATAATTCGAGATGATTATAGATTGACGGTGGTAGGAAGTGAAATTAAAATTTTGTTGGTTATCCCAACAACCAACCCAAGATCATCAGTACCCACAGCTCGCCTGCCTCACTTTTGCTCTCCATTTTTCTCGGTTGCCATAGAGACATAGAATATATTATTTTCTCTTGTTTTATTCTGTTTAACCTTTTATCCATTTCATTTGTGCAAGCAGCGGTGACATACTGTGTCGGACTACCGTTAAATACCGTTCTTTAAAATATATAAATATATACACATATATATATATATATATAGGAGGGAGATTTTGCTAATTTAAGAAAAGTGGACTAATTGGTCATTGTGATTCATTGGTGATTCGGGTCATTTCGGGACAAGCGAATGGCATGAAACTCTTTTTTATTATAAAAAAATGGGTTAACCATGTGTTCATTTATGGTTACTTATGGTGATGATCTAGAAATAAATTCCTTTGAACATCCATGCAAAAGTTGTCTCTCTAATAGTGGAAAAAATTGATTAAAAAGTTTTTTTTGCTAAGGGAACTGGGAAAAGGTTTAATTTTTATTTACTTTCAGTATTTACCAGTTTTTATTATTGCAACTAAGTGAAAAAAAAGTGATTACGTTTACCAATGCTGATTATATCATTTGCATGAGTTATTTTCATTTTCTTGAAAAAAAGTAATTTTAAGGTTTGAAAGGCTGAATGGCTGATGGTGATGGTCTATTTGTACAGGGTTCAACAGCGATCACAAGAAGTGGTAGCCGTGGAAGAAGGCGTCAGACTGTCGCGCAGCATACCATGGGTATGGGTGTATGAAAATGAGAATATTTTTAAACATGGTTATGCGAGTAATTAATGCATAAGGTTTATCGGCATTTAACATTAAGTTTGAAATGTTGGAATAAGAGATTTAAAGAACTGGTTCTTTTTGGATATGGTTTTGTGGTATAGTACGGTCTTGCAGAAATATAAAAATGAAATGAAAAAGTCTAAAAAGTCTATCAGAGGTATGAAGTAAATCGTTGTTATTGCTTAGGCAGTAGCGGAACGACGATGAAAATAAAGAGGCAGTAAGCGGTACTGAAATAGTACACCTACTGAAAAAAGAGGTGTGAAAAAGGAAAAAACAACTCATGTACACTGTGTGTTTTACCAGAACATTGAAGAGTCTTTAGTTATTATGTAAAATGTGCATATTTCGTTTAAATATTTTGGGCTCATATTTGAAGTTTGTTGATGCATTTGCTGTGGAAAATGGGAATAGATCTTCAGTAAACTCTAATAACTGAGGAAAAACACGGTGGTTTCAAACTGAGAAATCTCATTATTTTTTATCGAGATAGAATGGCTCAGTGGGTTGTTGCTCATTTTTGAGCGCAGATGCTGAGGTCCTACTCTTCACAGGAGTAAATTTGTCCAAAAATCCGGGTGATGCTGGCGACTCACCTGTATTTCTATCGCTAAGGAACGCTCTGGCATATTTGTCCAGTGCGACAAGCCAGTAGGGCGAGTTTAACCAGTAATGGTGAGAACTCTTGAAAAAAAATTTTTTTAAACCAGCAAAGCCCCACTTATAACTGGTTTATGATAAACCATTAGCTTCAATCATTCTCGCTATCCCAATTATATTCTCACAAGCGTATCATATTGCGCAGTGTACTTTTGTCAATACGTCTAAATTATAAAAAGCAAGGGATATGGAGTAGAGAGCGCAGAGAACAAATGTAAAGGAACAGTTCGAAGCAGTGTCAGGGAATTTAATGAGTTTTGAGGGAATATCAGGGAATGTATCCTAGTCCGAAAGTTCGCGGAGATGGTCTGTCTGTTTACTAGCTACAATGCCGGCATACCTATTTAATTCTTATATATGTTTCTTATTGTTTTATTATATTTTCTTTTTCACAGTGCTGCGACGTCGAAGTAGTGGTCCCTCAGAACCGGCCGATCCATCTTCAGCCTCTACATATACCCCTGTCAGTTCTGTTTATCTTCAGCGTCAACCTCAATATGTACAGAGTTTCGTTTCGCATATGGAAAGCAAGTATCGATTTCTTGTATTTTTTAAATTTTTTTTAGTTTCCCTTTATTCTTGTTTTTATTCATGTAATATATCAATTTGAATCTTAATTCTTAATTTTAATAGTTCTTTTAGGCTTGAAAGAACTAGAAAAGTATTACGTCGGCCAATATCAGTGATACAAAATGATGAAGAAGGTGTTGCCACAAGTAGCTCTGCAGCTACGGCTGAAGTAAATCATTGTTCAGAAAAACTTGTCCTTAGACTAAACATTAGATCTCTAAATAGATATTTTTTAATCGCCAAATTTTTTACATTACAGTGGTTAAAAATTAAACCTTGTATACCTTTAGAAACTGGTATGAAATATTTAACAGTTTTTGAGATGTCAATGTTTCAGTTATTGTCAGAGGGCGTTTCGAGTAAAAGGTTGAGAGCAGATTCTCCACGAGACAGGTTGTAATTTTCAGTTTCTCATGAAAAAGTATTAGAAATAAGAATTTAAAAAAGAAGTAGAATTTAATGGTTGATCTAAAGATAGTGTAGCCTAAAATGCATATAAATCACTGGAAATTTCTTTTTATCTTCGTTTCTAAATAGGATGAAAGATTGCGTTTGTTTCATTTTTTGGCTTTTTGATGAACCATTTTTTATAGCCGCGTTACAAATGATGTTTTGATTGCGCCTTTGGATGGATCTTGTTCAATATATAAATTGCCTGATGAACTTTTAGTGAATGTATGTATTATTTTTATGTTCGAGAATTTCATAAAAATTTTTGTACATATTTTATATACATTATTTTTCAGGTATTTTCTTATCTTTGTGAAGTTGATCTCGTGAAATGTGCAATGGTATCTCGTCGATTCAATCAGTTATCAAATGATAATAGTGTTTGGTTAATTTCCAGATGTTTTATATTTTGCATTATCTTTTTCCAAGAGCTGAAATGGCCTTTAGTGTTTTAAGTATTTTTACTGATCTTGTGCTTCAGTTTTCTAAAATTCTTTTGTGGAGAAAAATTTTACTTTGAATTTTTGAGTTTTTATTGTCATATTGGTAATTTTAATATCGCTTAACGAGGCTTTTATTTAGGAAGATGCTATATCAGCGAGTATTTGAATATTCTGCTCCACTTTATCATCCTTCTCATGGAAGATTTATATTTCGTGAAGTAAATCGGTGGAAAGACTCGTCGAATCCTTGGAAAGATAGTTATTCCCAGTTGGTTGGTTTTTTTTTTATTTCTTTTGTTTTATTTCTTTTATTTTGTTACTTTTATTACACATTTATCAAATTAACATTATAATACGAGAAATGTTCAGTGTAGAGGAGTGCATGTTCGATTACGCACTAATCAAACTTATGGACAGAAAGGATTCTCTTCAGTGGAATTTGAAACAGTAGAAAAGGCTTTACTTTATCTTGAAAATAATCCGATGAGGGAGAAATTGATTATTCTTCATAGCGGGATATATTATCCGGATCCAGTTGTTATACAATCACCTATTCAAATTATTGGAGCAGGTAAAATTTATTTGATTTATTACATTTCTCACTTTTTGTTCCTGTTTTTGCTCGTCTTGAAGAAAAACTCTAGAGAGAATATGGAATTATAACCTTTTTCTTTTATTCCGTAATTGATAGGTGTTTCTATTTTATTGTCCTTTTGTCTTTCTTTGATTATCTTAGATTGCAGATATACCCACTAGTTTCGAAAAAATTTGGTTTAAATGACATTTATTCACTAATTATCGAACAAAATTTTGTTATTTACTTATCCGTTATTTTTTATTTTGTTTTATTAAATTTGTAATTATGCTTCGAAATGACGATACTTTTAAAAAGTTTTAATTCGGGAAACTTTCTTTTTTGTTTATTTTATCGGTGAATTTTTTATTTAGATATTAAAAAAATTTCCACAGTACGTTAAGTGCATTTGTGGTGAGAATATAAAAACATGTATCGCATTGCAGAATTGGTTGAAAAAACAAGATTTTTGTATGTCGTCTGTTTGTGTGGTCAGTGATTGGGTGGTCGGTTAGTTGACCTCATCAGTAAATCCTTTTATAAAATTTGGGGATATGAATCGAAAGTCTGGCGTTCCGTTTTTATGGTATTTAATTTGGTCATAATCATAAAATTCACCTGATTCTTTAATTTATTATGATTAAAGAAATTTCAGGTCCGTATCCAAATGATCCAACTAATGTTATAATCGTAAATAAGTCAGAAACAACTATATTGTATACAACGGGATCATCCGGTGCTTATCTTGGTTACATCACGGTACAATATGAACCGGACCAACCTAATTTAGGTGCATCTCACCAGCATCTATACTATGCCATCGCTATATCAGATGGTGCTTGTCCTACAATTGAGAAATGCTGTTTTTCCTCTTCTAGTCTTGGTGAGAACTTTTCTTTCTTTCATTGTCAGAGGATGAATATTTTTAGAAATAGGTTTTCACTTTCCAGAAACAGGTTTTTAGATAATTTTTATTTCAAAGCTTTTTAAAATTGATAATTTATCTAGAAATAGTTTTTATAACTTGTTTTCAGGCGGAGCTACTGTATGTGTCAAAAAAATTGGCACAAATCCTCGTTTTAAGCATTCGAAAGTTTGTAATTCAAATAACGTTGGCATTTACATAACAGATGGCGCTTTGGGTATGTTTGAAGATTGCGAAATTGCTCAAAATACACTGGCTGGAATTTGGGTAAAAAATCGCGCAAATCCTTTTTTTAAACGTTGCCACATTCATCATGGACGCGATGTTGGAGTTTTCACTTTCGAATATGGCATGGTTTGTTCCTTTCACTTTTTTTACTGTGTTTATTTGAAGGAACCGACACGTATTTTTAATTAAATTTGTTCAGCATCTCCATTTTTCATAAGATCTCAATGCTTATTTCAAGACCAAAAGTTTTTGCATTTTTTTCTGTTATTTTCATTAATTTTTTTCCAGTATGTTTACTATTTATTTGTATATCGATCTTTCTATCTTTATATATATTTTTGTATTGTTCACTGATGCAGTGAATTGATGCATTTCAGATAAATATTGTGAATATTAAAATGCAGGTTTAAATATCTTTTCATTTCCGCATAACTCATTTCCCCATCATTTCTGCAAAATTTGTATAAAATTTTAGGTATTCTATTCGTGCGAATTCTCTTATAAGCTACATTTTTTAAGGGTCATTTCGATCGATGCAATATTCACAGTAATCGCATTTCTGGTATTGAAGTCAAGAATCAAGCTAATCCTACAGTGTCTCGCTGTGAAATCCATCACGGTTTAACGGGTGGAATTTATGTGCATGAGAAAGGTATGTTCTGAAATTTTATAGCATATTGAGTTGTGCATTTGTTTTCTTTCAGGCTGACAAACTTGTCCTATCATCCTGATTTGCTGTGTGAGTGTTTACTGTTTTACTGTTCACTGGCTAAGAAGCTTAGCGATTCGCCATCATTTTATTACATTAACTTATGAGAACTTCGTGATCAGTATTATCAGTATTATTAGGTGTGTCGTCTATGCTTTTTGTGTTTTTATGTGTGGGTATTGCATATAAATAGTAAATTTTTCAAGCATGATTCTTGTTGATTTTAACTGTTCGGAAAATTTAGTGAGAATATATTTTTCTCGTCTTTCAGATGTTTCCTTTCCGGTTCTCATAACGGCTCTTCTAAATGTCCGTTTTTAGTGATGAAAGAAAATTCATTGAAAATAATGCACGTCATCATCATTTTTTTCGTTGCATAAAATGTATAAAGATATAGTGTTTGAAATTTAAGGGCGTGGTCAATTTCTGGAAAATCGTATATATAATAATGCATTTGCTGGCATATGGATAACGTCTCATTCCGATCCGACAGTACGTAAAAATGAAATATATAATGGCTCTCAAGGTGGTGTTTATATTTTTGGTGAAGGACGGGGTCTTATCGAACAAAATAACATTTATCAGAATAATCTGGCGGGCATCCAAATTCGAACTGGATCAGATCCAATTGTTCGCTGCAATAAAATTCACAACGGTCATCACGGAGGTATTTACGTGGTATGGTTTTAAATTCCTCGCGTTTGGTAGGTTTATTTTTAACCATTCGGTTCTCGTTAATGTTCTCGTTAAAGTAATGTTATAGTGGAAATAATTCTTAGAGAGTTGAATGGCCCAGTGGGTTGTTGTCATTTTTGAAGTGTCAATGCTGGACTTCTTTTCCAAACAGCAATAAATTCGCCTTTAAAAAATCCAGATAATAACGTTGGCTGGCCATCTGTACTTAAATTTATCTGACTAAGCACAACGAGTGCTCTTAGGAAAAAAATTAGGTCTTCGTGATTGTTTTTAAATTTGAATGTTTTGCATTTTGGTCTAGAAACATTGAGATGGTCGTGCCTGAGTGATATAAAAGCTTTTAATATTGATCCACTACTAGACGGCTTGACTTCTTATATGCTTTATTACTCTACAGGAGTGCCAGTGTCTTTTTTTCAATTTGCATTAAATTATTGATTTTTTCTGTATTAATGAAGTATAATTGAGTTTTTAAAATTAAAGCATTTACTGCTGAATAAAAGGTAAGGACAACTGTAAGCTTGAGTTGAATTTTTCTTTGGTTTTATGATTGGTTAGTGATACAGGTAGATCTTTGGGATGCGTTTAAGTATGCTTAAGGCAAGGCATGTCCTATGCATTTTTTTAAAATGTTCAGTTTAGTTAAGTTTAGCCTACATTTCTTGCGTTTCTAATAGAAATGGATTATATTTATTTTTAGCACGAAAAAGGGAAGGGCCTTATCGTAGAAAATGAGGTATTTGGAAATGCTCTAGCTGGGATTTGGGTAACCACAGGATCGTCACCAATTCTAAGAAAAAATCGCATACATTCTGGCAAGCAAGTACATTTTTCCTATCATTTTCTCATTAAAATTTCGCCTTTTCTATTCACAGTTTCTACAGATTGAAAAGTTTTCTAGGTTGGTGTATATTTTTATGACAATGGTCATGGCTTGTTAGAGGAAAACGATATTTTCAATCATTTGTACTCAGGTGTGCAAATTCGGTCAGTTTCATTTTTTGTTTTCATTCTTTTGGCTCTCATAGGAGCAGTAAGTGGATAATATTTAATACGAAAGATTATATTTAGTACGGGTTCCAATCCAAAAATCACACACAATAAAATTTGGGGTGGACAAAATGGTGGTATTCTTGTATACAATGGTGGCAAAGGTGTTCTGGAAGACAATGAAATATTCGATAATGCTATGGCTGGCGTATGGATCAAAACGGAAAGTAATCCGATATTACGGAGAAATAAAATCTACGGTGGTCGCGATGGTGGCGTGTGTATTTTTAACAAGGTGCTCACAAAATTTCGTCCAACATTTCTGAAGATGGTGTCTTAGAAAACGTATCCCATATAAAAGAAATTTTGTCTTTTCTAGGCTTCTTTTTTATTTTTGCAAGATCATTCTTAATTTAGTCTTTACAAAATTTCAGATAATTGTTTCTAATTCACTGAATCATGTCGCCACTCTTCAAACATTTTTGAAGTTTACCACTTTTTGCTTAATAATGTACTCTTTGTTTGTAAGAGTGTAAATTCGATTTCTATTTCCTACTTCTACTTCTTGCTTTTGTCCTTTCAATAGATGAGTTATAGGGTCGTGGCCTACTTGAAGACAATGAAATCTATAATAATGCGCAAGCTGGAGTCCTTATCTCTACTGAATCAAATCCGATTCTCCGTAATAATCGGATTTTTAAAGGTCGCGCAGCTGGCGTCGAGATAACAAACGGTGCAACAGCGACTTTAGAAAGCAATCAGATATTTCAAAATGAATTTGGAGGTATTATACGGCAATCTAGCAGTTAAATGTTGTTAACGGTTTGAATTGTTGATACTTAGCCGCTGTTCTTTAAGGCCTTTGTCTCGCCACAGACGTACGACCCGTTCTTCGAGAAAATGCTATTTTTGATAACCATAATGCTGTTGAGAAAGCTGTTAGCAGAGGGCACTGTCTTTTTAAAATCAGTTCTTGCACTTCATTTCCAATGCATGATTTCTACAGGTTTATTTTTAATTTGGTGTCAGAAACACATTCTTGTTAAAATTGAACTTCAGGGCGGAAAGTTATGAAAAAAACTTAAAAGATAGACCATGGGAAGTACTCAGAATCAAATAGTATTAAAAATTTTTTATGAAAATTATGAAAAGTATTTCAAGGTGTGTTACATGCAACACGACAGAACGTAATGCAATTTGTGTTAATTGTATTAAACACTGTCACAAGAACCATGATGTTGCTTTTGTGCGATATGATCGGTCAGTGAATTATGTGCAATGTTTATTTTTTTCGTTTTCTATACTTAATTTTTTTGTAAGGTTGGTGGCACTGCTTATTAACTTTCTCTATTGCCAATCAGTAAGGTTGAGAAAATTTGAAAGGTCGAAATCATCATTCCTTTGACAAATTTTCAATTATATGAAACAAAAGGAAAAGTTTCACTCTTCAGCTTTTAAGAGCATTTTTTTCAGATTCTTCTGTGATTGTGGTGCAGGGACTCTTGAAAGGCAGTGTTCTTTGCAACCGGAAACTCGAGATAATGATACGGTCTATGATTCAGCAACCCCAACTAATTCTGAAACCTCTTAAAATGTGTATTTCTTATTTTTTAATTATTTGTTTCAATGCATTCTCGTATGTTTATATATTTTTATATTTATATTTGCATATTATTTATTTATATTTCCGTTTCATATCTTATCATTTTTTATTTTTTTACGTATTTAAATATATTCATGTATATTTTAAGCTTGAATTTAATTTTTAATTTTCATATATATTCATTTGTTTAAATGTGTATTCACATATGTTTTTATTTATATTTATGCTTGTATTATGTATATTTCATTGCTGCAGTTCATTTTGTTATTTAATATAAAAAAATTTGCAGCATTAGATCTCCGTAATTTTGTCTTTGGACTTATTTGATTGAATTTCAACTTCTACGTCACGGTTGTAAATATTGAAAAACATTTATAAAATGCCGAAAATTTTGATAATTGGATAAATATTTGAAAACTCTGCTATATGCATGCAATTCATTAGTATCTTCTGGAAAGTGGATCTTCATTCGGTAATCCGGAACTGTCTTATGTTCTTTTGTGATAAAACATAATATTGAAAGAGAATAATAATGATCACAATTCATGTTGGCGCTAATTCATTTGTTGTGCTGTGATACTGTGTTAATGAGAATAGTGTGGTTAGCACGACCATTTGAAAGTTAAGAAAATCATTGTTCTTTGAATTAGGCGCATTAGATATTTAGTTTGCTAATGATAAACTATTTGTAAATCTATGAAGGGTTTATACTTATTCGCTTTTTTAAACATGAAGTAAATTAAAAACAAGGGAACTATGGAGGTCTCATCTGTGTGTGCCAGCAGTAAAAATCAAATTGTTTGCAGTATTTCATGTTACTAATTTATACAATTTTCTTAAAGCGAATAAAATTTATGCTTATCAATTCGACTTTTTTAATTAAAAAAAGCTTGCCATTTCACAATTAATGTCTAATCTTCTCGTGTCCGTTGATTTAATAGGATATAACATCTATATGATAATTCTTTTGATTCTATTTTACAAAATAAGTTGTTGGTGGTCACTAATAACTAAATTCTATGACTTGGCTATATAGTGGACTTATTAAGCGATCGGACTCCACTGTCTAAGCGATTTGTTCCAAACTAGTATCAGTATGTTTCCTACTCATGTCAGGAATAGAGTTAATTCTATCGGCTTTTTATTTGTATTTATTTATATGTATCGCCGGAATTGCATTAGACATTCTGTTTCGTTCTGTATCGTAAAATTAGACATTCTGTATCGTAAAATTTGCTTGCTCAAAAGTGCAGTGAGCATCAACAAAAGCCGATCTTCTTTAGTAGCTCGCAAGATTAGACCTTTTCAGGCTTTGTTGAATACAAGAGTGAGATAATTTCAACCGTTTTGATCAGATGCCATATATAAAAGTAACAGAAGCCATCTCCTTTTACAGCCACTGAGCCCATATAATATCTGCTGGTAGCTTATAGGCTCGAAATCTTTCTTGATCGTACCAATTCAAGTGGGATTTTCGCGTTTTTGACACCATCCATCGCACATTTAGCGAGATAAACGTCAGTTTCTGTTATGGTAAACTTTTGTCTTTTGCTTAATTACTCCACTTTTTATTAAACTTTCTAATATTCTTACAACTGTGGATAATATTTCGGTTGTTTTCGATTTTCATTTCAGGATATAAAGCAAGAAGTCTTCTAGAATATTGAATTTAAAAACAGGTCGGAAATTTTTATTAGAATGTATGAAGCATTTATTTGTGATGTATTAGAAGAGTACAATGCAATTTTATTCATTTATACACCACAAATCAGTTTCTGGTCTCATCACTTTAGTCCTATTGTGCTCGATCCACTGGATCTTCTTCTTCTAACAGCTCTGACCATTACTGGTTAGGTTGAATCCGTTCCGCTGGCTACAAAGATAAGATTACCGAGCTGTTCGGTCCGACGCCAACGCTAATGATAATAGAATCCATTCCTTTTTTCACCGTTTAAGTCCATATATCGCTGGTCCACTTATACGTTCAAATCTTCAAGATCTTCCCTAATCGGTCCAGGTTTTGATTGGTTCCCACTGTTTTTGATACCATCCATCATAGGATTTAGCAAGTAACCAAATATTTGATAATTTCTGTGGTGGGCGACGAATAACGTGCAGCTAAGTCGACACTTTGTAATGATATCATTAATATGAGTAGTATAAGTGAAGATGGATGCAATCAAATGAGATTTTATCAGCTTGGAGGACCCAT